ATTAAATAAACAAATAAATAATTAATTGCAATAAATTGCAGTAAAAATAAATTTTTAATTTATTTATTAATACTCTTCACTATAAATTTATATTCGATTCATGATGAATTTATATAAAGAGAGCAATGAAACCAAATACGTATAGACGCTCATTAGATTTCAAGAGAAAATGAAGCTTACTAGAGTCTCATAAGTCTTTAAATTTTGATAAGATATCTTTGAATATAAAAGAATTTTTGTATTTTTTGTATTCAGAAAGGAAATTTTGTTATTTCGTAAAAGTTTCTGGAAATTTTTTCATTATACTTTGATGGACAGAGTTAATCAGAATGTTTTAGTAAACCATTCCCAGAATATTTTCAATATCATCAATCCATAGTCGGAAGGTAGATCCAATTTGGGCTCAAAAGATTGATTGTACGGCTCCTTATCACTTAAATATTGTTTAAATTCTTTTAGTATGTAACATTCATTGAAAAAAATCCAAAGCAATTCTACAATATTTCTGTTATTCATTAACATTTGTACCAGAAAGTTTGATGTATCCAATTCCTCAGATGATCTATAAATATCTGGAAAAACAGCCAAACTTCCCAAATCGCACAAAATTGTTTCTTTCACACACCACAGCTACCTCAACCATTCATTTTGGGACAGGTATTCCTTGTTTTGTAATTTAATTTTTCAACAACTGATGAGGGTCTTCATAACATCAGATTGTCCCAGAATTCTTAGATCATTAAGTAATCGATTCAATCCTTCAGGATCGATAATATCTGGATGAATAGGTGACGAATATTTTTTAAATAGGTTCAAAGATCTTTTTTCGAATCCGGAGCCATCTTCTACTTTTTCTTCCATTTTCATAATCAGAGACTCGATGAAATCATTGTTCATTTTCAGCAAGAAATCTCCGATTCTCAAATATTTCAGTCTGTTATTGAGTTATTTGTTATGAAAAATATTATTATATCAATCTTCTACTTGTTAGTATTGTTAATATGATAAATCTAAGGATACCATTGAATCTGCATATAGGATACCATTAAACCTGTTGTTTAGTTCATATAGAAATTGGGGAAAAGCTGGATAGTTTTTTCTTAATTCCTGTATGGTTCATCATTAAAAACCATGATAAACACTGGTATAATTTTGAATCCCTGCAAAAATTTTTGGGACATCCATCAAAATTGATCTTAATTCGAAAATTGAAAATCTTAAATTTTTCAATATTCTTCCTTATATTGCAAGAAGATAAATTTTCATATAATATAAAAATAATAATTGTTATTATTTTATGGTAATATAAGCACTTAAAAATACAGTAAACCTGTCTATGGTGACCAGCCATGGTTCCTTCAAAAAGTGGTCTTTTAGTCTTTTAGACAGGTGGTTCTGTAATAAAGTATTTCCATATGTATTTTGTGCACTTTTTAGCCATTTCTACTAAAAAGCAAAACTTGAGGTGAGCAAAAATAAGCGAATTTTTTCAACAATAGAGCTATATTGGTATTGTATTTTATTCTTATCGGATAACCCAATTTACAGAAGTCGTCGTGATATTATAAGACAGATTTGAATTTAAAATATGTTATCATTTCTTTTCTTGTTGTGGATAGACTTTATGGTTCAAATTCATTTTCCAACTTTTTTGCTTTTTATCCAAAATCAAACTACTACTAATGGCAATAGCAATGTCATTAGGTTTACTTAAATGAACATTTCCTGATTCAGACATTACAGTCTCAGCCATGACCCAACTGGCCACTGCTTTTTTGTTAGACATTAATTAACTCCTCTGTCAACACAATGTTTGTTTCCAATATTTTAATTGCCTTCTAAGTTTCTTTAACACATTTTCGAATGTACAAAATTGCATCTAATGTACCATTAATTATTTGAGGCATTTATATTTCTAGAACAACTGAAAACATGTACACTCTAAAAATTGTTTAAGCTGGTCAAATATGCAAACATTCTAATCATGTGACAATTCAAAACAAAACCTTTTTTTAATAAGAACATTAAAATTAACACATTAGACATTACAAACAAAGAAAATAAAAGCAAATCCATTGCCAAGAGATTAGTAATCTTGACAATCGTATCTCTCTCATGTAGTAGGGAGTAGATGTCAAGTTGTTGAGGCCTCATTTTAAACCTTGGTGTCAAACTTATAATACTCATATTCCCTATTATTTTTGATTTACTATATAAGAAATTAAAAACTTCTCCTTCTATTGTACACTCTTTGACCTTCTCATAAGAGATGGTCAAAGCTGAGTGTACTTGGCATCTACTCCCTACCACTTGAGAGAGATACCATTGTCAAGATCTACTAATCTTTTGGCAATGGATTTGCTTTTATTTTCTTTGTTTGTAATCTACAGTAGGTTTTTGTTAATTCCATATATTTTAGTATGTAATTGGAATGTAACACACCAACAACTGCCGTAAATCATCGGGTTATAATTTGGAATAAATAATACTAAATTACAAATGAATTTGGCACTATAGGAAGGCTTTAGGTGCCATCTCTTATTAAAATTAATAATTAAATTTTAAATTAAATAATTTAGATTAAACTGGAAGACTGGAAGTAAACAATTGGCCCAAAGTGGGACTCGATCCCGTAACTTCCACTTACCATGTGAATGCGTTGCCAGTTATGCTTCCCAGACCTTCGGTCCAATCTCCTCTTCAATTCTCACAGTATATTTAATGTTAAGCTGTAACAATTGTCGATTACTATGGTGCCAACTGAGGACACATTCAGCGCCCTTGTTCAGTAAACATCCACAAAAGGCACATAGTCGGCCATTGCATACCTGGCAAGGCATAGATATACATATGAACATTCCTACAAACCCGATGTAAAGCAGGTAAGCAGAAGTTGTGGGCTTGAGTTCCACTTTGGGCCGATTCTTTTCTTTCAGTTTAATCTAAATTACTTAATTTAATATTTAATTATTAATTTTAATAAGTGATGGCACCTAGCCTAATCTATAGTGCCAAATTCACTTGTAATTTAGTATTATTTATTCCAAATTATAGCCTGATGATTTACGGCAGTTGGTATGTTATTGCTTTATATCGAATTTGTAGGGATGTTTATATGAACTGCTCACTTGCCAAATCGATTAACTCCACATGTAATTATTAATTTTAATAAGTGATGGCACCTAGCCTAATCTATAGTGCCAAATTCACTTGTAATTTAGTATTATTTATTCCAAATTATAGCCTGATGATTTACGGCAGTTGGTATGTTATTGCTTTATATCGAATTTGTAGGGATGTTTATATGAACTGCTCACTTGCCAAATCGATTAACTCCACATGACAAAAATAATAAAAATTAATAATATAAATTATTTTTTAAAATTCTTTTTAATCTTTAAATTTAAATAAACATTGTAAAATGTATTTTTATATACCATTATATTAAAGCATAGCTTTAATGTAATGATATATAAAATTAGTTACACAAAAAATGCAAAAATAATATTGATTATATTAAGAATTTACAAATGGAGTTAATCGATTTGGCCTGTGAATGGCTCATATGTAATTGGAATGTCTAATGTGTTAATTTTAATGTTCTTATTAAAAAAACTTATTTGTTTTGAATTGTCACATCATTAGAATGTTTAAAAATTGTTTTGTTTAAACCAGTTATGGTTTAAACAGAATCATATAAGTAACAAAACATATTTGTTACTTATATGATTTATAATCTAGAATATTTCAATGTTATTCATATTTGAGTCAGTTGTTTGTTCTATGTGTGATATAGAATGGTCTAAAAGTCAATTTATAATTGAAGTATAAATTAAAAACCCATTAGTGATCCCAAATTGTAACAGCTGAAGAAAAAGTAAACTACGTGTTTTGACTTAAAGAATTAAAGCCAATAATGGCTGTTAGAAGAAAGTACTGTATGCAATTCATTTTGATAATGCCACACTTTCTTTTATCAACTGTTATTGATTTTAATTTTGCAAGCCAAAGTATATAGTCCACTTTCTCTTCAATTCTCACAATTTGGGATCACTAATGGATTCTATGAATAAAATAAATTAGTTATACATTGATAAAATGATTACATAAAATACTTCAAAAGCTACACACACTATTATTTATTATATAATTTTAATATTTGTATATCTTTTGTTATAGAAATATAAAATGGCACAGGGATTTTTGGACTCAATCTGTAATTTTGATCTAATGATGAAACATAAATCATCCCAAAAACATTTAGTTGATAAATGCTGACTCCTTAAACTTTATTAATAATATTAGGTTTCTTCAATCTAAATGTTAATGATGAAATCAGTAGTATCAAAAAAATACTTTAAAATCATTTGAGACAAACAAATATTATTAGAATGAAAATTTTCATGGTGATCTTGACCTGAATATGGCTATTTCTCATCATCTGATCATCCTATTATAGTTAACACTAAATCCAGAACCTGTTACCGGTGTAAATCGTGAGAAAACTTTTCTTCACAAATTTGACAAGGCCGACATCATTGTCACTACACTCCACCTAGAACATCTAAAATGGCTAGAAGCCATATCCATCTACAAAGCTAGCCACATGACCACCTGTATGAACCAGAAGGATGAACCTGATCTATCTATAGCATGGCAGGCCGTTACAGATGGCAGCCTTTAAATACCACCATCCACACACAAGTGCACATGCCCATCACAATGAGCTTCCTTAAATAAGCATTTAATTTTGTTTTAAATCTTTACATTCTATTTTTTGAAGCTTTAAAAGTTTTAATTTTATTTTTAACAGATATACTTGCTATAATGTTATACAACATACAAATTTGATAGTCAAATTTAGCATGAGAAAAAAATATATACACACAGTATACATAATAAATACTTAACAGAAAAGAAGAGAAAACAATAAACTTTTTTTGTATAATTATGAGAAAAAAGTAACTATAATTTTAATATAAAATATTTTGTTTGCTTACTTTTTTTTATAATCCATTGCTAAGTTTTTATAATATTGAACAGCTTCTGATTCATTATTAAATACTGGTTCTGTTTCCTCCATCTAAAAATTTAAAAATTATAAATTTATTTTGTTTTTAATTAAATAATTTAAAATACTTTTATGTAAAAATAAAACATTTATTTTTAAAAACTTTTTTAAATCTTAAACCTTCATTACTTTATCTCAAACTGATAGAACAAGTTTGAATTAAAATAAAAGAAGAAAATTACAAAACACACAACTAATAATATTCAAAATACAGTGGGTGATCAGTTAACAAACAGATCGAATAGCGAACAAATTGGATAATGAACACTTTCGCGAAAGATTTTTATGATTGGACAACGAACACATGTTCAGATAACTAATGCTTTACTGAACAAACATGAAAAGAAGCGACAGAAAATAATGAATACCGATTGATTTTCCTGTCTTCAGGTAACAATTTGAAACCTTTTGGAGCATGGGAGACGTCAACATCGACGCTCAACCCAATACCGATCTGATAGTATAATATTCCTCCAATTTTTGAAACTCTCCCTTGTAATTCCAGCTTTTTGTTTACCTTTCTGACAAATAATTTTTTATAGCATTCGCAAGACTGTCGGACAGGCACTTGTTAAGTTTTGCGTCAGGGTTTATTTACGAAAGGTGAAAGTTTAACTGTCCCATTGGATATTCATTAACGTTTTAATGCCAAATTGTGAATTTCATCCGGGCCTTGCATTTAAATAACTTTTTGTGGGCTAGTTGATTTCTGTTCTCTGAATTTTTGTGTTTTTCTGAACTTTTTATTTAAAAAAAACTGATAATATTATGGAACCTAAAAAGAGGAGTGTCAAGAACTGTGCTCACCATAGAAACCAAGTAAGAGATAATAGCCAAGGTAGAAAGTGAGCACAAGATGTCTGATATTGCTAGGCAGTATGGCTTGAATAGGTCTACAGTAGGCACAATCTCAGCTATGAAAGATATATCAAGAAGTCTCAAGCTGCTAATGGAGTAATGAAAATCGCATCTGAGAAATAACTGAGAAATATGAAAGATATATCAAGAAGTCTCAAGCTGCTAATGGAGTAATGAAAATCACATCTGAGAAATAAAGAGCATTTTACAGCTCATAATGAAACCTGAAACTGATCTGACGACAGAACAACTCCAAGAACTCTCAAATGAAAAATTCCAAGAAACTCAGCAAGATGTGTTTTCTTTTGAAAAAGAAAAAGATGAAAGGGGACCATGTCGACGTCTGCTACTAAAGATCTTTTGAAGAGGTGGGAGGATGTCAGAACATGATCATCCAAGTGGCATCCAAACCAGAATAAGGTTAATGGGGTTGGGGATCTCTACAATTACAATGCTATTAATTACTTGCGAAAAATCCTGAAGAAGAGAGAAAAGCAATCGACATTAGACAGATTCTTTAACCCTTTCAAATGGAAAAAACATGACTAATAAAAATGCAACACTGCATATATATTTTTACTATTACATATAAATAAACGTAGTAAAAAAGTATATTTTTTTAATTTTTGGAGTCTCCGGAATGAATTAATCAAATTCCCATAAAAACCTATGGTAAATCGATAATCGGTTAATGAACAATTCCGATAACAAACAAAGTCTCGGAACAGATTATGTTCATTAATCAATCACCCACTGTAAATGACTATTGTTCATATCAAATAATTTTTATCAATGCTATATTCCTATTAAATTATCAGGTATTTTTTAATACATTGATATTTAATTATTATTAGCAAACTATTATTTTTCTAAGTGATAAAAAAGTAATTTTATATCAATAATAACATTTTAATTATAATAAAAAATTTTACAGATTAAAAAAAAACTGTTAAAAAAATAAAACTGATAACTACTTCAATCATGAATTCTTTATTTACTTTTACTTAAAAAGATAGAGGAAAAACATTAACATTTTTATATGAACCAAACAAGTTATATATGATGAATGAAATGAGTCATTTTAACAAGGAAACTAGTATTACGTAAAGATCTTGATTCCACTAAAACTTTTTGTATAAATGAATTTGTCATTCAATAACCTTGAATTTACCATATATACACATAAACACACAAAAAATGTTTTTCATTTATGACTCTTTCCACACCATGAGTGCTAAGAATGCCTAACTGTAACTAACATGAATTATCTCTAAATAATTCTAAGTATAAAAACCTAATAACACTAACATTGCTAGTTATTCAATTTCCATATAATAATAATAATAAAAACCTTTGTTGTTAGATATTTGAATTATTTAATGACATTATTTTAGAATTTTAAACACTTGTCATAATGAATCTTTGAAAAAAAAAAAAAAAATTGTTATCACTAATTACTTTCTATTTCTAATCTTTGTGATTATGTAATATTAAACCAATATATTTGCATATGCATACAAAATTGACAAATATCACTTCAAGATAAAATGATTCAAAAATTTTTAAGTTGAAAAACTCAACAAAACATGAAAACTCAATCCAATCTCTAAGTATGAGTTACCTTATTATTATTATTTTTTATTTACTTAACAAGTCAGTATTCATGCTTGTTAAGGTATATAAAATTATTAAAATAACATGATGACTTTAATAGTATCATATATTTTGAAAAATTATAATAATTTAAAACTGTATAAAAGATATATAGAAGTTAATTTTTCTTTATATTTTTTCTGTAGATGTTATACAAGCATGGTGGATTTTATAAAACTTAATCATTATTATGAATATTTTTACAACGAATAAATAAATAAATAAATGTAAACACACAATGCATGATAGATAAAAGTGGGATTTACTCTCCATATAATCCGTCATATTGTGACACTTATCTCACTGTAGGGTAATGTTTTTAATATATTTTGGAAATAATCTGAATGATGATATTACAGTCAAAATTAAAATTAACTGTACTGAAAATATCAGTCTAAACTCTAATTTATAAAAGTAGTTTTTTAATTCAGAAATAAAATGCAAAGGTATCTCAGTAGTAGGAAGCCAGGAAAGCTTAATGAACTGTGAAAATGCTAGACAAAATATCAAGTAATAGTTTAGCTTAGAAAAACTTGACAGTTTGACAAAAGCATTCTTTAACCTATATAGTGCATTTTGTTCGTACGATAATCAATTGAGAATAAGAATCTTTCAATGTAATGTGATCCTTCTTGAACTTTAACAATTAGCAAAAATATATGTTTCTATCTTATAAACATGGTTTCTAATTTCAAATAATAATAGTACATTTACTTTGAATGACGACAGCAATTCAGTTCAAAAATATATTTTTACTGTATAATGAAACAATGCAATTAACTTGATCAAATGCTGAACATGCACTATTACAAATTTATTCATTTTTGAAACAATTATAGAATGGAATACAAAAATTCAAACAGCTGACTTTAATATACAAAATTTGAATCTAAAAGAATAATGTTGCAGTATTTAGAATAAAAAATTTGAATTTTTTTGAATGTTTTAAATTTAACATACAACAATGATTATTAAAACAAAAAATACTAATAAAACTTTAGTTAAATGTGCAATGCAACATTAAATAGTTATAGCACTTCGACTTTTGTAAATTATAACTAAAATTATCAAATTAAGACATGGTTTTACCTCTGTACACAAATACAAAACTGTAGATAATAAAAGGCATTCAGAAGGTGATAAGGAGAATAGGGAGAAGAAAGCACCCTTAGTGCCTATGCTGTTTTATTACTGCCTTAAAGAGTGAGATTTGTAGGTCTAGCACAGGGCTTCTAAAACTTTTTTTATTCACGACCCCATTTATGATTGTGATTTTTTTCGCAACCCAACAAATATAAAATAAAGATATATACAAATTTGCAAAAACAATAATGGTGTACTACCATAGTTTACTCTTGTGTTACAATGGAACAGAGACAACTGAATATACTGAAAAGTGACAACACTACATTAGTTCACACTACAATCAGTGTTGCTGAATCGTTGTCTCGCTGCACCAGAAGTGACACAAAGAGCAACTCACAAAACCTATGACACAAAGCGTGCCATTTTCAAACTCTCACAAATTATTTTCAATATTTTGCATTAAAATTAGTTTAAGAAGCCCTGGTCTAGCAGTACTATGCATATGTAGCTAGAACTATTTCTAAGACTAACCTTTCTCACTAATTTCTAGCCTTTAAACTTCTTCTAACCGACGCTCCACAGTGTACCCGAGGAAGGCCTATTAAGAAGGCCGAAAACGTTTGTACTCCAGTTAATAAGGCTAGAAATTAGTGAGAAAGGTTTTGTGCTGTTAGTCCTGGTCTAGCAGGTTACAGAGGTTGTTAGTTGTGATATACAGGGTCTCTGAATGAATAAAATGTCACATTCCATACATGAATAGAGCAAAATGGCATCTGACCACAAAGATTCACTGCCATACCCCAGAACTCTCCTAAATGATTCCATGGCTTGTCATGTGTGATATCATTCTGATGCTCCATTATCTTAGTCCAGGGATGGCAAACCTTTTTGAATCTACACACCATACAGTAAGCACTTATCTTTAAAAATGTTTGTGGGGGCAAAGTTTTAGACTTAAAATAATAATAATATTCAAAGAAATTACATGAATATGCTTTAATTACACTCCCTAGGTATGGATCTAGGATGTGACAGAAATTCATGTACACATTCTATCAGTTTTATTAATTAATCAAGGTGGTCATCAGGATAATGGTTTTAATGATGTTTATTTGCATTTCTGCAGAATTCATCATAACGGTTATTTGTATAATATTTATGGAGTCATTTATATCTTCTTTGCATAATGAGTCTTCTATTTAGTGAACAATATTGTACCTTCTTTATGCATTCAATGGCTTTGGTCAGCTATATAATTTCAAATCCTGCTCTGGGCTGATTCGTTTCTTTCAAACAATTCTAAAATTATTGAGCTGCAATTTGAGAAAATTGTAGATCTATAAATTCCCACTGTTATCAGTCTGTTTTTCTTTAATCTCAAGAATT